TGCCTATAGGCGAAAATGAACAGTGATTTCGCCTACCCCAATCACCGTCCAAAGTTCAGCACGCGGTCACGATTGTCTGGTAGTGTCTCATTTTTCATTTTTTTTCTACAAATCGGAATGACTTGAAATTTGGAGCGTGCATTTATCAAAAATAGGGGAATTTTCGAAAAATATAAAAAAAGTATTTTACATGAAAAAAATGGACCAAAATACCCCCGAAACTTTTCGGGGGTATTTTGGTCAACTTGTTTTGCGGCTAATTTTTTTTATATTTTTATTAGATGCGCCTCAATAAGATGTGCATACCCTCCAAATTCCAGGTCATTCTGATTTGTAGAAAAAAATGAAAAATAAAATACTATTGGACAATCGTGACCGCGATGAAATTTGGACGGTGATGAGGGTAGGCGAAATCATTATTCATTTTGGCCTATAGGCGTTGGGAAGACTTTTCTTATATATATATATATATATACATATATATATAAGGGAATGATTTCATGTCACTGTGTCATTGTAATATACTGAAACCACACTTCTAGAAAACCATGTTCGTGGCATTTGTATGACCCAAAAAATTGCACATACCTCATCCCAATAATCAATCCTCAATAAAGTAAATTCATCTTACACCTTAGATATGCTCAAAATGAGTCCCCCTTCTAACAATGATCTAGACATCCATTTGGTGAATTTCAAGATTTAGGCCTTCACAAACTCAATATCAACTTTTTTTTTTTAAACATTGTTCATCTAATAACTTTCTTGAAAAAAAAACATTGTTCATGTAATAATAAAAAAGTCATCAAAAAATTTTTGAAAGAAAACAAAATCATTTTAAGGCTTAGATCTAAATGTCTAACCAAAATGGACAACCTATATTAATTGAGCTAACAAAATATTTTTAAGTTCTTTTTTTTTTTAATTTTTATTTTTTGTCATTGTTTATAAGAATGAAAATATTGTATATTTAAAAATTGAGGTCAAAAAAATGGTCCTAACATGGTTTTTGAAGATTGTTTCATTATATTATAATATGATTGCTGCATGAAATCACTTCCCATATATATATATATATATCAAATCAAAAAGATATTCGCAAAGTCATCCTCTACCACTCTATGGGCTGCCTAGGCAGCTGGATTTAATTTCTTGTACATTGCTCAAGTTATCTGATATAATCTCACTTGTGTCTATCCTAATATCAGACGTACCCCTCCCCGCTTCTAACTCTGTTTCCTCTAGGTCTGCTCCTACCATTTCTGAATTCCCTCCTCTTTTGCTTCCCCATCATCACTGTACACCCAATTTCCATATTTAATTGCACTCTTCAACCCCGCACCTACAGTAATAATCCTACTCATCTTATTTATTAAAGAAAACAATGTTCAAAAAAATGCCTGGTGGTGCCTAGGTGGCCAGGGGGGTCTTGGCTGCCTAGCGCCTAGGCGGTCACCAAGGTTTCTGGACGGCACAGGTGGAAGAACAAGGGTAGGAGGTGTTTGATCCAACTGTTTTAGGTCCAAATTCTGTGTAAAAAATGCATATTAAGGCATAACACATAAGAATGCATAACACATAGTCAATCCATGGTCCATACACTCCATACCATTAGTCCATACTCCATACATAGTGAAAAAATGCATTTTGAGGTCTATAGTATTTGAGATCTGGGCAATTAGTTACTAACTCATTAAGAAAAATAGGAAAATACAATCCAATAGTTAAATTCAGTACTAGATCCTAGTCCATAGTCCATACACTCCATGTTCCGTAGTCCATATGCATAAAAGGAGGAAAAAAAAAGAAAAAAAAAAGGAAAGAAATATAGACTTGAAGTCTCAGAGTCTTCAATCATCATTAGAAAAAATAGGGTCAGTTGCATCATATGCATTGGAGTCGAGCCCATTTTGAAATCAAATCTAAACCCGAAGGATGATGTTTGGACCGATTTTTCAAAACATTGATTTACCTAATTGATCTTACAGAAATGCAAAAATGTTGTCTTTTTTCAAATTTTTTCCACTCTAAAAGCTAAAAAGGGGTTTAGGTCACAATAAAACCTAAACACCTCCTTGAGGCAGATAGGAAGATCACTTTTTTCCTTCATTTCCCCCTTATTTAGTGGGAAAAAGGACTAAAATGCCCTTCCACGAGGGGTATTTTTGCCCCTGGCGGGCGCTTAGGGAACCCAATGCCTAGAAGGGCCATCATCTAGGCTCCCTTGGCTCACTTAGGCTCTAGGTGGCTGGTTTTGAAACGCTTATGAAAAGAAAACTGTAAAATCCAAATGTTTCTCTCATTCACCTAGTGATACGCTTATGATGCCCTTTATATATATGATAAAATCTCACTCTTTTCTGTCCTAATATTAGACATGCTCGTCACCACTTCTCATCCTGTCCCCTCTATGACTACTCCTTCCATTTATGAATTCCCTACCCTTTTACCTTTCCTCATTATCAGTATAAACCAACTATCTATCTCTCTTCCTTCCCACTATTTGAACTGACCCTCTTTTTTTCTCTCTCATCTAGTAACCCTTTCAAATGCCCAATTAGTGTGAAACAGAACAATGCCAATTCTTCTTCTCATTAATACGTAATTATATTCCTGTTAAAAGAGATCAATATTGTACTTTTAATTAAGCTAAAAAAGAAGGTTGCACTTTCGATACCTTGGGTCGATAATCTATGAAAATGGAGAGATTGAAGAAGATGTCGGACATAGAATTAGAGCTGGGCGGGCGAAGTGGAGATGTGCAACTAGAATTTTATGTGAACACCGAAGGGTAAATTCTATAGGACAGTTGTGAGACTAGCTTTACTTTATGGGGCAGAATGTTGGGCAGACAACAAACCGTATACCCATAAAAAATGAGTGTAGCGGAGATGAGAATGTTGAGATGGATAAGTAGCAAGACAAGAAGGGATAGAATTCGAAATGAATCCATTTTGGAAAACTTAGGTGTGGCACTAGTAGGCAATATGATGAGAGAGAGTAGACTTAGGTGGGCTGGCCATGTCTGGTGTCGACCTAGTACAACACCTGTTAGGAGATACAAGTTAGTTCAAGTGGAAGGATTGAAAAGGGCAAGAGGTAGACCCAAAAGGACGTGGTTGGAAGTAGTCTGAAACTTATGGTCTCATTGAGGGTATGACCTGAAATAAAGCAGAATGGTAGACTAGGATTCATGTAGTCGATCCCAATTAATTGGGAAAAGGCTATGATGATGATGATGATCAAGGTTAACTCAGGCTTTATTATATGGGATTACATATAATGAGACCGTTTAGTTTTGGTACAAGGAGGTCACAATTACTTATAACCATTCGATATTAAATATGATGGTTCGGGTGTGTCACAAAGTTCAAGAAAATTTCTTTTGAACTTTGAACTTGGTCAATGGAATAAATGCAGCCACCCAATTTCACATCCAGTGGTCAATATTAGTTGTGACCACCTTGTACCAAAGGTAAATGGTCTCATTGTATAGTTTTCTTTATTATATACCATGTCAAGTTAAGATCAAGCTTTTGATTGTTTGGGGTGCTTAAATTATTCTGTTTGACACTTGTCTTTTCAGAACATCTGCCATTGGATTGATCTTGTTAACCAAAGCCTGTTTTGCATTATTAATATTTTCTCTGAGCTACTTGATGGTTCTTATATTTGTTAACATGATCTGTCTAGTATGGTGCTTACTTCATGATATATTTTATTAGATATTTAATCTTTCTTTCCCTCACAGGTAACTGGAGATCAGCTAAGTGCCTCAGGGAATCCACATGAAATTGAATTGCTTTTACCATTCCTCGAAGATAAATCGATGGAAGGTGTGTTTTATTGTATAAAATAGTTAGGGACTCAATTCCAATCTAAATAATTTGTGGCAACCTACAAAACCTTTTTTCTAAGTGCTAATACATTGAAATATGATATGTTGAAGCATGCAGCACAAAGGAGGTGGCTGGCCTTCTTGTATTGTATGGATCAATTTATGCGTCTGGACACTTGGGTCCTAAGGAACCTGTTTCACAAGCTGTATCTGATATTAAGGTATCACATAAGTTGGCTTTCAACCGAAGAGCTGTTCATTTTGCAAATGTAAAATTTTTCTTCTTAATCTGTGTATAGAAGTGAGAATTTCTGGAGCTGTTTGTGATTCGTTGCAGAATTTCTGGAGTTGTTCATGGTTCATGGTGGCTTTTGTTTGTAGCTCTCTATTGTTTAAATGCATTCTCTCTATGTTTTATTCTTTATGCTTTATCCATCTATACACTCACATTTTTTCATTCTTCAGAATCTACCTGGCATAAGTAAAACCCCTAAATGTGGTCCTATTGAATCCTTTTGAGCTTAATTGGGTCACTTATACTTTCTTGGGTGATCTAATGAAACAATGGCATTCCCAACCACTTCCAAAATGAGCTCTGTTTCTGTGACGATTTACCATTCTAGCAATCTCATGGCCTCTGTGGATGAAATGAAATACGACCTCTCAAGAAAGTTGATCAAATACTTGGATATAAGGGATGATAAAAATATTTATCCGATGGGCCTTGTCACGTTCAGAATCTTGGGGGCATACAGCCAAAGGCCTACATGAAACGGAGCTATATGCTAAGGAACAGCAGCCATTATTGGACTTCTGCAACAAATGGGACGCTGAAAGTAAAAATCGAATTTTGATGGGAGAGTTAGTGGAATTCAGGTGCCACGGGCATTGGAAGAGTTATATGTCCCTCTGAGGGTGCTATAATTTGAACATTTGCAGGCCCTGCCAATATCCGTGATGCACCTAAGTAGAGACCGGGATACTCTTGGCAGGACTTATTCAGCCAGATTGGGGAGCTTTGATTGTCAAGGGAGACTCTATGAATGCTATCTCATGGCGAAGAAGGACTGTGAAGACTTGCTTCTATTCTACTAGAGATGGAGGAAATCAAGTCCAGTATCGCAGTAAGCTTGAAGAGAGTGGGGTTGCCTATGCGCAAGAGAATGAGGTTGCACCTGCGGTAGCAACAGAAGGGAGTTCAAAGACAGAAATGAGGGCCCAATTGGTTTGGAACCTAGCTGTTCGATGATATACCGTTCCCAAAATTGAGCTTTGAAAGGGTTAGATGTTTCTGCCTTCTATGGGCAACCATCAACCAGCAATTTTGACATCTGAGACGTAAATTCTTTGCAGACCCATATAAATACACAAAGAAAAAGAAATCAAGGCCATCAAAGAGATGGTGAGTGGGCATCTCAGTGACGAGGATTAGAGTCTGAGTTATTGGGCGTAGCGAACAGATATCACATGAATGTCCAAATTAAGCATGCAAACAGAACTATCAGCCGCACTTATGCCAAATACATTTGTTCTAGCAAATAACTATAAAAAAATAAAATTTGACATTTTTCTAACTTGTTTACTATTTTACATTTTACCCATTTTCAACTATTCCAACTCATGATCGTGTGTGTTTGATGGACTTTTAGTGTTAAGTATCTACCGTTAATCTATTAGGGGTATTTTGATAAATTCCCCTTATATATATAACACTGCCATTTTGATTGATTACATCACTCCTTTACCCTGAAGCTACGACAGGCCTATTTCCCTTGCCCACCTTATTGATTGAACCTCTTCATTGTATGGAATTGCAGATTTCAGCCACTGCCATCGTTCTGTGAAAGGTGCAAGCCTGCAAAGTTAAGGCTTCATTTTTTAGGCTTCTCCCAGAGTTTCATCAAAATATTTAATGGGAATTCAAAATTGGAAGTTTTACATACCAAACACAAGATAACTTTCAGGTTTTGGTGAAAAGAATGGTAGTTATAAATTATCCATACTCACATGTTGCAGATTGTTCATTAGTGAGGTCTGATTCTTTGGAGGTTCAGATATCTGAGTGGATACTATATTCTGGATATGTTTTTCTTATGCAAATATCGTGATATTGTTTTATTGGATTTTTACTATTTCCATTTGTGGATATTGCTAAGCTGCCACAAATTATTCGGAAGTCTAAACTGTTATAATTTGCTTCTTGTTTAGGGGGACATTATCACCAGTTTAAGAAGTAGACTCGATATTATCTGTGATGAGGCAGAGCAATATTCAGGATCAAATTCTGAAGGTGGAGGGAGTCCATTTGATGGGAAGTCTTCTTCGAACTCTTTGAACCCTCTTTTCCTGCATGAATGGAGGTGAGCGTTACTCCATAATTGTTATTGATATGGTACGTCTAAATAGCTCAAATGTTTCAGAACCAAATAATTGATAGCCCTTCTCTTCTCTTGGTTAATATGGTATACAGATTTAAACTTTATGTGCATAGGCTGTTCTCATTGTTCCTGTGTATTTATCTCCTTTTTGTTCTCTTGAGCATACACCCCAACTGCTTTCTAAACATTCCAATTAAAGTATCCTTCAAAAATCTCACACTTTGTTCTACCCCTAACATATTGATCTAGTATTGTAGAATGGTAATTGTATTTGTGTTGTGCGTATATGGTGTTTTTAATTTTCTTGTTCGTTCTTAAGATAAGTAAATTTTTCAACATCGTCTGCTAATTCCTTCATTTGTTGCTGATTATTCTAACTAGTGATTCTGCATATACTTTTTTTGCAAACAGACAACCTTCCAATCTTCCTTTCCCTAGAAGGGTTCTGTTTCCTTGGATTGAAGGTATCTTTATCTGTGATTATTTACAACCGTCAGAGTCATTTGAGGTTTGTGGGCCATTCTCAATTAAGTAAAATAAGATGTGTGCTTTACTTCATTTTTTATTCTGAATTTACTGGTTATAAAATATGATGGACATATACATGGCTTTGGCCTTTGGTTGTCTGATACATAACCAAAGCCCAAAGTCATATGCTCATCATAATTCATTATATATTCAGAATAAAAATGAAGTACAACCTTTATTTATGTGATTTGATGACTTTTCTGAACTTCAATTGTTTGTTGCCAGTGAAAGAAATGCAATTTTCTGTCTAGCATTGAAAGTATGTTATTTTTTGGGCTCAATGTGTGTACGTTTTCTTTTTTATCAGGATGTTAAGGTTCACGGCAAAGAGTTGATGTCTATGGAGGATGAAATGAACCCTTCGGATATACTGGAAGTTGAAATTAAGGGTCCGACTTTGGCTATGAGACCTTTCTGGGATGTAGTTTCATGCAATTCATTAGCAGAATTGGAAGAGAGGAGAAGGAAGAGCAAGGATGTGTCCTCGACAGGAACGGGCGGTCAAAGAGTCACAAATCATAGTAATTTAAATCTTTTGGCTGCTCTGGCCATCCTTCTTTTGGCAATCTTGATTGGCGTGGGAATGATTTTGAGTGGCCCAAAATCCATATAGCTCAATCAAATGCTGTTTCAAATTTTTGTAATTTGGTTTTTTGTTTTTTTCACAATAGATGGAATTAGGGTGGTGTCTAATTCCATTCAAAGTGGCTTGTATGCTTTGGATGCGTTCTCGTGAACATTGTGTTTATTTTGTGTCGTGATAAAACCTCAAAAATTTTCTTGGAAATGAATGACATTTGCCCTGATATAAGATGCAAGTGCGTGAAAAATGTCTTAAGTCCACTGTTGTTGCCTTATCCTTTTATTTGCTTTATCTCTTGTACATCACAGAACTGTTTTTTGTTTTTTGAACCGTCAACTTTTATTGGGCATGGGCGATGTAATGTTACACACCTTTTCTTTTTCCAGTAATGTGTGGCTCTTCATTAGATTCAAAACATGTACAGATAATTTAATTACAAAAGGAGAAAATCCAAAGCAAGAAATAAACCTGTGGACCACTGAAGAATCGTGTTGAGTGACACCTATTGCTAAACAATATGTTTCCTTATTGGCTTCACAGCAGCAATGGCATATACAGTGTTTCAAAACCCGGATCGTTGGGTGGCTCGTCCATTACATATATACGTGTCTGATTGTTGGATCGGATATATAAGGAATCACTAAAAATTACTGAAAAATAAAAAATAGGGGTTTGATTTAAGGGCGATCTAAAAGAACATTAGATAAACTTAAATAAAAGAAAAAATTTATTAGTAGGGGGTTTTAGGAGGAGTTGAGCCACAACCGATACCTTCCTACAACCACCAGTTCAGTCTGTCGATTTTAGGTTTAAATTAGCGATCCAAATGGGGAATTGCCTGAGTTTTTCAGGTTCAGATTAGCGATCCGAATGTTAGTTGAGTTTTAAAATACTGGGTATATCTTTGTACTTTCTCTAAAAGTATCATCTTTTATTTCATCTAATAAAGGAATTAATCAACAAGGAACTCTCATATGACCTTTATTCCATGAAATTGGATTAGTTGATAGAAAACGTTTACACAAGGTTGAGGCGCGAAACAATGTAATTAAGGCTTGAAACACACTTTGGACCCATGAATGAAGAAAATAGTCTCAAACCTTTGCATTAAAGCTTTTACCTCTCCATACGCACAAGGAAGTTAAAAGTGCTTCACCTCTAAAAAATTTTGGTCCGACGGGTTACAAGCTCCAGGAAATCTAGAAGGCTTTTGGAAATTCAGAAGCACTATAATCCGGTTTGGCACAATTTTGCGCCGGACCACAAAAAAAATTTGATCTGGCACAATAATGTACTGGATCTGTCAAGGCTTTAGAGAGAGGAGAGGGCGGGTAGAGAGAGACGGGGAAGGGCAATTTAGTCTTTAAAAGATCTATTTTGTATGGGTAAAACCAAAAAAAATATTATCTGATTGTGATAACAAAAGTATTGAGGGATAGACTATCTACAAAATTCATTTTGGGGCATCCATTATCCCTAGAAACCCAAATCACAAAGGTACTGAGGTAGTGAAATCCTCCTATTGGACTAGCCAACGATTTTGATCACGGCAATTGGGAACGTTGTAAGAAATAGAAAACAAGACCATGAACAACAAGAGCAAAAGGGAGAAATCATATTTGGGCAAGCTTTTTATGTTCCTCCTACAATATAGAAGTTCTATGTTTCCCTTATCTAACCGTCCATTTTTTAATGGAGGGCTAAGAATGTTCCAATCACAATGTCACGTCTCTACACTGTTTTATTTTTATTTATTTTTTCTATAAACTGTTTTGACACCAAATTTTGGACGTCCATTCCTATATTAAACTCGCACTAATAAAAACTATAAAAAAAATATTTTCAATAAAATAAAATAACCAAAATACCCCTGAAAGATTTAACAGGTATTTTGGTGATTATTTTTTATCAAAAAATTATTGTTAATATTTTTTATAGGTGCGCCCCAATGAGAAGATGGCACGTACCAAATTTCATATTAAAAAACATTTTATTAAAAAAACTAAAAATAAAATACTTTGAGACGTCGGATCTAAGATCAAACGGTGAGTAGCTCACTTGATAAAAATGGAGGGCTGAATGGTAGAAGGAACATAGAACTTTTATGTTGTAGGGGAACATAAAAAAAGTAGAGGGCTGAATGGTAGAAAGAACATAGAACTTCTATGTTGTAGGGGAACATAAAAAGCTTTCCTATCATATTTTATGGCAAAACAATTGATCGGTCAATTAATTGATTTGGGATTGTCAAAAACTAAAGAGGAGAAAAGAGAGAGACAGCCCATTTCGCATTATCATGTAAAAGCACAGCGTGAAATAGAAATTTGATGGAGAAAACAGGAGTAAAACACAAAACAACTTAGGCTAATCGGTAGTGGAGGGTTATGAGGAATCATTTGCTTGCAGAACAATGAACTTCATTTATCAAGAGTTCCCTCAAGATCGAGTACATAGCTATTTAAATATGACATAGACAAAAACATCTACAAATTGAGTGTGAGAAATAAAGTTAAAAAAAAGCACATTTGTGTATGTTTATAAGGAGGTATAGATTGGGTAACTCTTATTTCTCTTATGAATAATGTATTTGGTCATCATTTGAGTTAATAAAATTGAATTAATATTACTAAAAAGGAACGCATTATATGTGTGGGTTCAGCCTCCACAACCTCAGCAAGTTGAAATCAACTATCAATTAAAATTACAGTTTTTTGTTGACCATTAAACATATGATTAATTCTGACTAATAATATATTTGGAATGCACGATTTCGGAACTGCGTCACAACATATTTGTCTTAGTCCATTTCTTAATCCTATTAGTTTTCAAAACTCCGCAATAACCGCTAAATCTAACTGATCTTAGAAGAAAACAACGATTAATTTTACTCTCCAACATGATTAATGTTAGTCAATAATCCACCTACCCAATTCATCCATACTCACCCTAGTTGTTGGGAGATAGTTTGGAAATTCAGTGGAGTCGCGTGGCTTGCTGAAGTCTAGCAGTCTTCTGCGCATGCATGTGGATGGGGTTGTCCAGGTTTTCGAGCACATGGGTGCAGTTAAATCATAAAGTTCCAAGATTTAACCTTGATTTTAGTCATGTTGTGTGAGTGAATGATGGTTTACAAGTAGAATCTATTTCCTCTTTCTCTCTCTCTCGATTTTACTTTGTGTGTGTTTGTTGTGTGTGTGCGCGAGTGCACATGTACATCTGGTGTGCAAGCATTTGGATTTTAAGTCCCCAGGTTTGTGCATTATGGGGACCGCTCAATTGACATTCAGCAAGGTTCAAGGGATATTTTAGTTGTTGCCTAGCCGAGGTCGAAGCAACAGGCCCCAGGACATATTGGCATGTTCATTCATGGAACCTTTGGCTTCAGAAAGGTATTAACATGCCAAAGCATGGCCAAGTTCATGAGCAACTTCCATGGTGATATCCAATATATTTTTTTCATTAACTGTGTTTTTTGGTAGTCATAGTGATGAAGTTTTGAGGATTTTACACATGTTTCTAAACGAACTTATTTGAGATTCCACCAAAATAAGAACTTACAAACTTACAGGATTGATCCTCATACATAAAGCAGAATGCAGGGCTTGTCGTGGCAGTTATAGCGATGGCACAAAAATTATCACAAACGGCATCAAGATAAGAAATCCATATTCAGTGTTTTCAATCCATTTTTTTAATGGCCAAGAAGATATAGGGATGTTATTAGAGCGACATGCATTGTTAGAAGGTTCAATCAAAACGAATTTGGAGAACAGAATTGACTTTCTTTTATGAAATTCACATAAATACACAATTACTGGAAATCAGGGCTGTTTGTTCAGCCAACAAAGAAACACATGAGCTTCAACTTCCTACAACCATAAGATGCTCTACATTCCCAACCATGAGGACATGGTTTCCAATTTCCAAAACCCTTTCTCCGTGCTCATTCACATTGCTTAGGTTCTCACATGGGTTCACAAAGAACACAGCTTCGGTAGGCTGCTTAGATTTTGTGTGCACACGTTTGAATCCAATTAACTGCTTTTTTGGAGCGCCACTAATCCTAGCTGGTGATTTACTATACAAAAGAACAACATGGCTTCCATCCATACCACCATCATTCAACACAGATACACGCACATAAAACCTCAATGCTTCACAAGTTTCCACCTCTTCAATGTAAATGTAATCAACCTGATTTGTTCTTAAGGTGTCCGGAGTTGAACTGAGTAATTCGACCTTAGGGACTGAAAGGAACTTGGGAAGAGAGAGAAACTCATAAGAAAATTCTGAATAACTCAGCCCATGACCAAATGGGTAAACCACCTCCCCAGTGTAGAATCGATAAGTTCGACCAGGGTATCCTCGAGATGGGTCGGGGCGCATGTTCATGTCAGTCATTGGCACACTGGTGAATGATTCAGGGTACCATGTCACAGGCAGCCTCCCACCTGCTTCGGCTCAAAAACATACATCAGGCCTCTTCACTCTCTAAAACTCTTATCTAGAGAATGGAAAATCAATATTATTGGAATCGCTAATCTTGTCACTTTTCTCTTTCTAAAGACTCGAATCTTCAGAAACAATATGGGAGTTTACTAACCTGGGTTGACATCTCCAAATAAGACTTCTGCAACTGCTTCCCCACCCGTTTCACCTGGGTAGCCAATCCATAGGATACTAGCTATTCTCGGGTCTTCTTTGGTGAATGAAACATCAATAGGCCCACCTCCCACTAAGATGAGGATCACCGGTCCTTTACTAGCATGAGCAATGGAAGTTATGAGACCTCTCTGCTTACCTGGAAGAATTAAACTTACTCGATCATGGTCTTCTGTCTCCTGAGTCAGGTCTAAACCAGCAACCACAGCAACAATATCGGCTGTTTTTGCTACATCAATGGCTTCTCCAAACCCATCGCTTGATTCACATGCGATATCAAGGCAACCAAGACTATATGCCGTGTTTTTAACATAAGTACGTAGACCTTCAAATAAGGTTGTTGGGTTGCATGGGGTTCCTGAAAATGCACGTGACCCATGTTCAAAAATTTTGAGACCCAATTGGAAAGTATGCTTTTTTGGAAAGGGCTATATAAAACTATATTGCATTGGTCATCAGTAAACAATGAAACAGTGATGGTGAAAGAGTTAAATCACAGGAATAAAGCATGACCCCAATGGTGGTCCTCCTCACTCTCTCTCCCCACCCCCCCTCCCCTCCTCTCTCTCTCACACACACACACACGCACACACACACACACACACACACACACACACCCAAAAGCAAAGTTCAAATGGAAACCATTGCTCATAAATGAAAAGCAAAATCACTCAGAGAAGTACTTAGGAAAACCTGAATAATCTCCATTGAGTAGACTTGCATTGTGTGCAGCAGGACCAATTATGGCCATTGAAGAAACCTTAGATTTTGTTAGTGGTAGAAAGCTCTTTGTGTTCTTCAAGAGAACAATCCCTTGCCTTGTGGCCTCTAGAGCCAATTTCCTGTGTTTCGCATTGCAAACATCATTCGGCCCCAACCCTGCAAATCTCTGTTTATTTGGAAAACCATCGAAAAGGCCAAGGCGTATTTGTACAGAAAACAAATTCAGAAGAGCCCTGTCAATGTCCGATTCAACGACTTTTCCCTGCTCAACTGCAAATGCTGTGTATCGAAGTAGATAAGTTCCACAGTTGATATCCATTCCTGTTTTGTGAAAAACTTCATATTATTATCACTGAACAGAAGATACAGTCTTCATCCTACATTAATGGAACAAAATGACCCACCACCCTTCTCCATCTGTGTGCACGCATGTGTGCGTAAAACATGAAAATTCATTAATGGACACTTAAGTTTTTTTTTTCCCCATGGTATGATGTGTCAAACCTGCTTTCAGGACATCTGCGACTGCATCTTCTGGTGAAGGGGCATATCTCTGGTCTTCATAAATTACTGCAACAGCATCACAATCTGAGGTGATATATCTGCATTAGTCCATTACTAATTCAATTCTATGCAAGAAAGTTTAGTCACTGTAAATCAAATCTAACTTCCTATTAAAATTAAAGAGATTGTCTCGATAGTGTCATAAATTTACAGAGATTTGTCATCTCATCAATATGCGCAGCATAATAAAGCTATAACCAACAACTGAAAACTAACCCTTCGAATCCCCATTCATTTCTAGCTGTCTGTGTAAGAAGATCATATCTTGCACATGAAGGTATCCCATTAAGCTGATTATAGGAACACATCAAACAGCTTGCATGACCGTCTTGGATACAACTTTTAAATGGTGGTTGGTATGTGTCCTCCAAATCTTGCTTCGATACCTGTTAAAAGGATAGAGGAATCATTATATTTCATAAATGAATTATAACCAGAAAATCACAGTAGTAATGACTCTGTCCATATTTTGTGGAGGTTATGAGGTAACACAGAAAAACTAAAAAAATCTGATCCCTACATTTAAATAGGAGGGAGGAGGGGGGAGGGGAGAGGGGGCAGGGAGTTTTATTTGATTCTTTTCCACCAAATTGATTTTTATCTGGTCCACAAACTACAACCAATGATCATAAGAAAAAGTTCCAGATCAACACATCCGTGAGACCATTCAGAACGATTTAAAAGAACACAAAAAATAAAAAAAATAAAATAAGGCACCTAAAAATGTTCTCCAACATCCTTCTAGAATATCAAAGAACAAGGTCCTCGCTTGCCTTTTCAGATAATCCTGCATTTTTGTTACTGTTAAATCCAAATTAAGAAAAGCAAACAAGCAACTGCATTTAAAAAATAATTATATGACAAGAAAATTTCCTAAACCCTTGATATTTTACATCAGTGTTCAGGGGCTTGATCTGGTCAACTCAGACTCTGCACTTTGCCAAGCCGAGTGCTAATGTACAAACTCGGTAAATTTTTTAAAAAATCATTAAAATTATATTCCTTTATTAAATCAATACAAACATGTTCCAATATAATTTCAATGATTTTGACGATGATTTATGAATTTTATTTTTTCACTTTTTTTATCAATTGCTTTATTTTTATATTTTTATATTTTTCCTCTTTTCTAGATTTTTCTGAATTAAGTTATAAATAGTTTTTTTTTTTTTTTCCAAATTCCACGTTCTATTAATTTTTTTTTCATCATTTTTAGTCTTTTTGTGCTCTTTATGGTTCAGTTTGATTTTTACTTTCTTTTTTTATTTCGAACAATTTTTTGGTTTTTTTTTAAATTTATAGCCTTTTTAGGGATGTACACCACTCAGTGAGTCCCAGTGAACTCGCCTGAGTAACCAGGCTCAGGCCAGGACCGTGTCCAAGTTTCAGAACATAAATTGACATCACATGGTAAATCAATAATCAAACTGAACAAATGTTTCCTTCTGCAATATTATGAATGTTTTCGCTCGGAAAAAATTGAAGCAGAGGAGGTAATTGATGTGATTATGAATTAATTCCGAAAATGAAGTTGCGATTTACTCTTCATCTGTTGTTCAATTAAAGATGAAATACACGCACTTTCTTTCTGTTTTTTTCTCTTTTCTGTTGGCCTTTGAAATCACACCATCACAACCCACCCCTTCTTTTCAGTGAAGTAATGATTTTTCCTCATCACAAGAAAACAAACAAAGAAACAATAAAGTTAAAAGAAAGCTCTATATGTCATGAATTACCACAAAAAAGAAAAAAAAATCATACCTTGGCATTAAATGTATATCTTGTAACATTCTCGGCATTCTCGAGATCATACGCAGTAAAATGCTTACAACAAGCAGAGAGCTTCAATTTGGAATCACGCGGAATAAGAATCCTTTTATCTCTCATCAACTCATCATCCAAACCTTCAAACTCAGGCTCTCCCTGAAACCCCCTTACATACTCAACTGCATAAACACTCGCAACCAGTGGATCTTCTCCACAGGTTTCTTGGCCTCTACCCCATCTTGGGTCTCTGAAAATATTGATATTTGGAGCCCAAAAGGTTAAACCAGCTTGACCAACATTATGCATGGCTCTAGCCTCATCCCCAATTGAAGAGGCAAGCGAAAACCAGAGAGAGGAATTGAAAGAAGAAGTGGATAAAATGACTTGAGGGAAGATAGTTGCAGAGGTTACAGAGCCATTAAAGGTGACTCCAGGTCCATTAGGTGCCAGACCATGAAGAGATTCAGACCACCACTCGTAGGCTGGAATGCCGAGATGGGGTATCGAGGCAGCGCCATTAGAGAGTTGCAGAATCTTATCAGAGAGAAAGAGGCGAGAGAGGAGGTCTTGAGCTCGGATTTTGGTGGGGAGAGAGGAATTGCAGAAGGGGTAGCAGTCATGGGGGGGTTTGCACGAGAATTGGGGAGATGGGTTTTCAAGGGAAGAGGGAAAACTTAGAGAGAGAAAGAGAAAGAGAAAGAGGGAGATAAGAGGTGGTGGATGCCATTGGGATTGGGCCATTTGGAGCCAGAGAGGTGCTTGCATTCCTGCTGTGTCTCAGGGTCTGTGCTCCTTGTATCTATGGGGGAAGCCAGTTTTCTTTTTTTAAAGAGATCTTACCGCGGGACCATTTTATCCAGTTACGGCCACTAGTAAATTTCAATTGGAAAAGTATAGAATGAGACTATTTAATACGAGGTTTTTCGCATTAATCTTGGCCATTGGATTTTGAAATTGGCTGGCTGGCTGCAATTATTCTAGTGACTAAATTCAAACTTCAAAAGAGATTTTCTGAATTAATAATTTTCATAAAATATCCATGTTTGAGATTCTAAATTTAAAATTTATTTAGATTTAATATTTAAAATTTAAAATTTAAAATTCTTCTAACTAATAATTTTATAATAAACTAATTAAGTTATTTTTTTTTCAAATGATTTAACCATTTAGATTATTATCAAAACGCCAAACTATTTTATGCTGCAGCAGGAGTATATTGTCTATTTACTCCCTCAAATAAAACCCATTCCATTGGAGGAGTAATTTTAAGACCCCAAATTTTTGGGGATATAACTTCTCCCCTTAGACTAACCGCAATTTGTTTAAAAAATAAAAAATCCTAAGTTCACTCTTTATGTCATTTAAAAAATGGAAAATGGCCTGATAGGGCTCCAGCCCTTTCAAAATAAGTAATGCCCCACGTCATAATTCATCAAAAATTACAATCTCAGCTTCAACATATTAGTTGTGAAAAAAATAGGATTTTAAACTTTAAAAATTATATATATTGTAACAATTTATCTAGATTGTCCATTCCACCTTAAAAATAAATGTTCACAAATATGCAAAATTTGCACTATTTTTTCAGTTTCAAATTTTATTGCCGGTGTTGGAAAGCAATTTAGATCTATCATAGAGATTTCCGTTGCCGATAGTGTTTTTTGGACGGGGATTTGAGGTAAGGCTCCATTTTGTTTTCGTAAAGCCTAGAACTTATAGAAACTTTATCCTTAAAAAAATAATATCTCAAAGATTGAACATATATTATTAGAGATTAAAAAATTTCTTTTGAAAATAATCTTCCAGTGATTATTATTATGTGGTTCCTAAAATATCGGAAGAGAAAAATCTCTCAACTAAGCCTTCTAACCAAGAAAGCAGATATACAATATATGCTCCTGCAGAAGCATAGTAAACGTGTTCGTCTCAAAATGTGCAGAGAAAAAATGTTCCATAAGGATTGAAGTAGTAAGTAGTCAGTCTCTGTCCCTCTCCACGAAAACGCTACCTAAAACTTGACGGAAAAAGTTTATGTAATGTCGCAACTTTAAAATGTAGAATTAAAGATACACTTCAAAAATCTATTAGAAAAAGTTGTTATAATGTTAAAAACCTTTTAATTGATTATCTTGACATTGAAATGTATAAACATAGAAAAAAAAAAAAAAAAAAGAATTTTAGAAACCTAGAAATAATGTATCTTGTAACACATTATCTAGACTGTCCATTTTCACAGTTTTTATATGTTTATAGATAGATATACTGGATTTTAATTATTTTTGTAATTTAAAATTTTATAATTAGATATGAACATCCTAATAATTTTTTACACCAAATTTACATGTTATGATAATTTTAGAAGTGTGTTTTAATTGGATTGTTTAAAGTTGCAACCTCCTAAAAACCACGCCCAAACTTAAAAGGAAAACATTATTGAACATGAGTCCACTTTGGCTTTCAAGGATTTTGGATCTGAAGTGCAACCTAAATCAGTATAAATGCATTTCTAGCTTAGATCCATCCCCTTATACCTTCGAAAACCGTGCGAATTTAATGATCTACGAAGAAGTAAATGGATTAAAGAGATTCTTATTTTATTGAAAATGGATTTAGAAAATGGAGGATAAGGCTCTAGCTCATCTCTTTAAATCTTGATGGTGGATTAAAGAGATTGATAGCTCAAATCTCCCACCCCACTAGTCTCTTATATTGAGGGCAAAATCTATGGCATAGAAAATCTATAAAAGAATGAAGGTTAAGAGAAAAATATCTTCTCTCAAAGGTCTGTAGGGAATCCACCATCAAAACAATCTCTTTCAAGAGACCGATTTTTATTCAATTCATAGACTGATTTACAATGAAAGGAGATATCCCTTTAAATAGACTAAAATAAGATAACTAATAAAAAGCTTATTTTTACAACTATCCCTATTTTTTCTCTCTCTCTCTCATATTCATGAGCTTCTAGCTAACCATGTTTTCCCTCTCATGTTTTACCTAAAAAAACCTCCCAAGTTGATTATTGTTCATAAAAATAAACCCTCTCATGTTTCACCCAAAAAAAACCTCCGAAAAACCTCTCAAAGTTGGTTATTGTTCATAAACATAAACTCTCTTCTAAATTTATCTTTATCCTAATTATATCCCTCAAACTAACCGAATCGATACAAGATAAACACAATATAAACTCTAAAGTCGCCCTGCTAATTATCCTTGCGCACTCAAACAAAAGAATAATTAAAATAATCATAATAAATAACTCTAATAATTTTTCTTTATTAGAGTCATTGCTATTTCTTTCCCTCTTGGGTTCTGCGACCCTTCGCACTCTCTAAACAAAAGAATAATTAAAATAATCATAATAAATAACTCTAATAATTTCTCTTTATTAGAGTCATTGCCATTTCTTTCCCTCTTGGGTTCTGTGACCCTTCTTTGGCCCAGTCATGAAGGGGTATGGCTGCATCATTCCCCCAGTTGAAAGGAACTCGACTCCGGCGGGTTTAGTTCGGTATGTATGCGATATAAGTCTGGATCCACTCTTTTGAACTCTGGTTCAGAAATCCACGTCCTATTAGAGTATGGCCTGCGCTTCCATTTGACTAAAAATTGACGATCGGAACATTTTCGAGTCTGAAGCTTTCAGTCTTCAAAACTTGCTCAATTTCATCCTCTTACTTCCTTGGTAATTTCTTCATCATATCAACTACATCTTCTGCGACTTCTAGAGGGTATCCATGAAACTCAAATAAGTCAGCTACACTAAATATCGGGGAGATATCAAATGCCTTTGATAATTCTACCTTATATACATTGTTCACATATTGCTTCAAGATACGGCAAGGACCCACTTTCTTGGACTTGAGTTTATTATAGGTTTCCAACGGAAACATTTCATTTCACAAATACATCTATGCTCATTTGAGGCTTTTTGATACTTTGCATTGCTCTCCTCAATTTTCTTCTTGACTTGAGCTTGCAAATCTCGAATATGCTTAGCAAAAGCATTGGAATCATCACTTATCTTGCTTGACATGGGTAATAGCACTAGGTCCAACACTAATCCATCGATGGGTGTCTTTTGTGAAGCCATCGGAACTCGCTCTGATACCAATTGATGCAGAGAGAGAATATAACCAGAAAATTGACAATAAAAAGAAGGAAGGTTAAGAGAAAAATTCCCTCGCTCGAACGACTGAAGGAATTCTACCCCCAAAACAATGTCTTTCAAGAGACCAATTTTTATTCAATTCATAGACTGATTTATAATGAAAGGAGATGTCCCTTTAAATAGATTAATTTTTATTCAATTCATAGACTGATTTATAATGAAAGGAGATGTTCCTTTAAATGGACTAAAATAAGATAACTAATAAAAAGCTTCTCCCTACACTTATCCCTATTTCTCTCTCTCATGGACTTCTAGATAGCCACGTTTTTTTTCTCATGTTTTACCAAAAAAAACCTCCAACGTTGGTTATTGTTGATAAAGATAAACTCTCTTCTAAATTTGCCCTTATCTTAATTATATCCATCAAATTAACCCGATCGATACAAGATAGACACAATATAAACTCTAAAGTCGCTCGACTAATTATTCCTTGCACTCCCTAAACAAAAGAATAATTAAAATAATCCTAATAAAGAACCATAATAATTTCTTTTTATTACGTCATTGCCCTTTCTTTCCCTCTTGGGTTCTACGACCTTTCTTTGGCTCAGTCACGAAATGGCATGACTGCATTACACACACACCTCTATTATTTGTATGTGGCAAAGGGGTAGAACCTCTTGCTAATAGATCTCTCCCTCTCTCTTCCTATTCTTCTCTCATCTCTCTAAAATCCAGCTAACAGGCTTGATGAATATTAAACTATTGAGTGGATTTTTGTTGTTGTAATCTCCGACAATTTTACTTTTTTTAAATATTTATTTATCTTCCCATAAATCAATAAATTTTAGTTTTGTTTCTTGAATAAAGAATTGTATTTGAAGAGGTAGCAATTGAGAACCGATTTTATTTATTTCAAAAGTGGTTTGATTATAATTGGACATTGTAAGTGATCTTGCCAGTGTAGAGGTAAATAATTTTTTAAATATATATACATCATGCTTTATCATAAAGTCCTTTCAATGTTCGTTGTCTAACAGTTTTAAAGCTCGTCTAACTAAAAAGTAGTCCGATAAGATATGAGGGGGTTGTGATGCATCAGCTGACTCACTTGTTGATATGTGATTCTCTTTTTTAAATCCATCTTAAAAATAGATTTTGAATACAAAATTTTATAGATTGATAAAAAGTGAACTTTAGAAGTAGTCTATTTTGAAGGGATTGTCTATAAAGAAAACATTTACTTATTTTTTTGTACGAGGAGGCCACGCGGTCCGAAATTTTTATTTTTTGGAACTTTTTATTTAATCAATGACATTATTACAATTATCCATTTTGAAATCTAAAGAACAAGAATGATTATGACTCTTTATACAAAGGATAAATAATGTCTTTATAGACTATTCCTATTTTGAATTCTTTATTTTATTTTATTTTATTTTTACTGCTTTCCAGATCACGGAGAAACCGGTGAGAGCCCAACCATAAAAAAACCTGTCCCACCTAAAATAACCCATTTAAGATCTCAGGGATCGTTGGGCTTCATTTTTATTTCGATTTCCAACCACGTTTGTAAGTGATATATTTGCATACGATTTTGGGGTAAAAATTGATCAGAACAATTGGGCCTTCATTTAGATCTGATTGGAAAATTTGCCATAAAATTATAAACAGTAGAAAGCAAAGG